CATGTTGATCTTTAATCTTCATAGTTAATTCCTTTATGCACATCAATTATGGCTTCTTAATGGCTAAGAAAGATTTCCAAAAATGAGGTTTATTTCTCTATCTTTTTCCATCTTAAGCACAATACCTTAATTAAAACATCTTTATATTTCCCTTGGATAAGTGAAAGATCTATCAACTAGTTGAAATGTGAATGAATAGGTTAACTCTCTCTTATGCTTATCTTTTGAAGATCGAAAGGGGATAGAATTGATGCTTGATCAAGGCCACAAAGTTTCCCAAATATTCATCACCTATTATAAAATGAATGTGAAACTATCAAGATTTTTTTATTTCTCAGAAATTTCTTTGAATTATAGCACTATATTTCCATTATATGTTACTATTTTAAATTCTCCTACTTATTTTTGTTTATTCAAATTATTTTCATAATCCTAGTATAGGCGTACATTTTCTCTAAGGCTTCAGAGAAGGGTATGTTGATAGCAATTTTTAACACCATTTAAAAATTAGAGAATTGCTTATTCAAATTTTATTAGATCAACCTTAGGGAGGTTAGTGGTGGTCTCTCTATAACCTTCCTAATTGATTTTTTAAGATTCTTTAATAGGTTCAATCTGCTAATGAGGGTTAATTTAAAGGTTCTCTTTTACCATTATCCTTTTGAGGTAGATCTTTGTCCTTATATGGGTCATAATATGACCACTTTTAAGCTAGATTTATTATTACACACCATTCTTCCATTTTATTATTATTAATCAACCTTGCAAGATACCTCTATGATCTTCTATTTTTTTAGGGTAACATATTAATTTTGTAGATGAATTCCTAATTACATAACAACATCTTACATGGTACTTTCCATTCCCCAAATGATTATTTTGTTTAAAACCAAGGAGTAATGCTATGGGCGCTGCAGATACGACACTGCGACATTCGTACGTTTAGGATCTCCAATAGAATTAATGTAATTATTATAACTATGTGGTATAACTTATATTATAAAGATCTTTTTTTTTTTAAACAATAGCTATCTGAGTAGTAAGAATGATGAGGATTAGATTATAGACTCTAGCTACTCTTTTAGGATTCACCCAATCAGTAAGACACAAAAATTATATGTAGTTATTTTCTTATTAATTCATAATGTTTTCTCAAATGATTTAAACTCAAAGATCCTCTAGCTGCAATATTTATGACTAACTAAAGAGATCCTCCTAATCCATTATAAAAGGTTGAATAACAAAACCATCAGGTAAGCTAGTGAGGGCTTTTATAAGTTTTTCATAAATTCTCCCATCTTTTATAATTGATTCTCCTTTGAACTGGACAAACAAGTGATGTCATTTTAGTTTATCAATTTTTAATGTGAGGATACATAGCTAGAAATTTATATGTCAATTCATTCCAAGTGGTTTATAAAGTCGGGGGGCATAGAATTTAATCACATCTTTGACTTATCACTTGGAGAAAATAGGAACAATCTAAGTCACTTGTATCATCATTGATTTATTATACTTAAATGTTGCATAGGTTTTCCAGAAATTCGCTAAGTAAAATTAGGATCTTCACATAAGTTTTCCCAATTGAAAGTTGAAATCTTACTATAGGGTTTCAGTTCAAAATTTTAGTTGGATAATAAGTCTATGATTACTCTTATGGATTATTTATACTGTAGGTTAACATATATCCATAAAGTAGTCTAAAATGGTCCCGTAATTTTTGTACTGGGTCAAATATTTTTATTTATTTTGAATATGTTGTATATGATAGTGGGCGGTTTCTATTTATGGATCAACAAACAATAATCCTTACTAGCCTACCAACGGATAAAATAAAATTACAACACTAAAATTAAACAAACAATCAAAGCATAACATTTTTGGATTTTCAAAGTGTGTGTTGTGTGATGCAAGAGCAGGTAGCTAGAAGGGATTACATGATACAAGTAAGTTTAATTATGCACTTATTTCACAAGTATAGTCAAAATTGCATACAACACATTACTTTCCAAGGAAATATAACCAAAAAACTTGATTGGGGGATATATAATGAATAGTAGATGCTAGTTTAGTATGTTGCTAAAATAGTTATTAATAAGTTTTGGAAATGTAGGTGCTTTGGTTTTTTGATATGAAATTAATGAAGCCTTGCAAATTATACATATACTTAAAATCAAGTAATAAAGTGGATGAAAATACACGAGAAGTGTTATCCTTAATTAAACTTAACTACTAATTTATTCAATGCATGACGGTGTGAGTGCCGTGACTGAAGGGGATGGAAAAAAATATATTTTTGAGTTTTCATCATAAAAAAAAACTTACAAAAGATTTGTCCTAATTTAACAAAGTTGTTTTAGACTAATAATTGTAAAAAAAAAAAAAAAAAAAAAAAAAAAAAAAAAAAAAAAAAAAAAAAAAAAAAAAAAAAAAAAAAAAACAAAAAAAAAAAAAAAATAA